CTCCCTCTCCCACTCCCCCTCCTTGTGTTCCCTCTCTCGCTGTGTCTTTCTCTGTCAAATAAATAAATAAAATCTTTAAAAAAAAAAAAAAAAAAAAACAGTAATATCTGGCAATACGAGGCAGGCCATCACGGTGCTGAGCCAGAGCCTTGACCCTCTAGGCCACCGTAGTCCCTGCCTGGCCCGCCTCACTCAGTGCCCTTACTTGCCCTGCCATTCAGGGATCCGAGTTTGCAATCCCCGACGCCTGGGCCTGGCACAGAGTAAGCCCCCAATAAATGTTAACTACTACTAGTGATACTCTTACTGCTGAGGAGCTAACCAGCACCTGCACAGCTCCTCTGCTTTGCAGGTAACTAAAGAGAAGACATGGGCAAGGAAGAGTAGAGAAAGTGGGCATTCGTGGTGAAACAGGAGACAGGGGGCTTGGTGCCAGCCAACAGCTGCCCAGCTGTGTGGCCTTGGCTAAATCCTTGGCCATTAATCGGTCCATATGTTCAGTAGTGTGTGGGCCAGACGGTCCAGGGTATGGCCTAAGTGGATAGGTCTCAGGTCGATACGCCATCCTCCCTTCCCCCAAACCCCGCTACCCACTGAACTCATGGTCTGGGGGCCTCTCCTTTCTCCAAGGCTCACCCAGTGCCACTTCCCTTCTCTGCGTCACCCCCAACCTCTGAGAACTGTTTCTGCTTTTCCAGGGAGAGGAGGAAAACCAGACAGAGTAGCCGTGCCTGCCTGGAACAGGGCCGCAGAGCCAGCAAGGCACCCTTAGAGCAGAGGGGCTCTAAACTGTCATCTGTAAAAGGAGAATGGTAAAAAATAGTGTTTACCGGATAGGGTGGCTGGGACATTAAAGTGCTTAGGACAGTAGCAGGCACATAGAGAGTGCTCAGTAAATGTCAGCTGCTGTTAGGAATCAAAGAGGAATCACTGAAGCAGCTTGCTTACATCTCCTCTTGAGGCGGCAAGGAGGCAAAGGAAACTGTTCGAGAGAGGCTGCAGAATAGAATTTTCATGAAGCAATCCCTGCACTCCCCACCCCCACCCCAGTAGGCACAGGTAGGCACAAAGATAAGGAGAAAAATATGTTGAGAGGGCAATGAAGTATAATAGATGAGGTGATCCCATATTCCATAGATTCTAAGATTCCCCCCCATATTTTAATATCTCTGAAGTTGAGGTGCATCATACAATCAACGGCATGTCCTAAATCGTAGTTGGTAGCTCTTTTCTTTTAGGGGCTCCAAATAATGTCGTAGCTCATCTTTGATGGCACCTTAGAAGTAATTGATCTAGTGTACAAAACGCGCTGGGCACGGTGCCTGCCATGTCACAAGCCCTCAGATTATTCTCATGATCTTCAGCATCACCAGCACATTCGAGGTTGGCCATGGCAGAGCAAGCAGCTTTTCTTCCTTTTTCTCGCTGACACCTGCTGACCTGCATTTGGTCCCCGGGGTTGACAGGCACATGGCAAATGCAGTTAAGGGAGGGGAGGGAGGGAGGCCTCAGGATAGGAAGGGAATGGCTTTTTATAATATATTAAGATATTCAGAGAGGAGGAGCCAGGGACTTTTTTTTTTTAACAACAAAAAAAAAATCCCTGCTGGAAGCCAGAGTTATATATATGCCAAACAGGCCAGGAAACCCAGCAGGCCTCCTGGAGCTGGCAATGAACCGAATCAGGGGCATTGTGTCCAGGCCACTGGCTGGCTGAGGGGGCATTGTTAGGGCCTGGCCCTGTCTGGGAAGAGGGGGCTGGAGGGGTCAGGGGGAGTGTGTTCCCATGACTCCCTGGGGAGTAACAACAATTGGGACCAGCTGGGAAGCCCGCATGCCAGGGGCCCCAGGGCTGTAGGGGGCTGAAGAGACGGGGGGGAGGGGGGGGGCAAGGTCAGGGCTTCCTTTCTCAGGTGGTGGGGCAAGGCCTAAGGAGGGGGAACATGGGAGTCATTCACTACACCCCTCTTCCTCACTCCCCACAGCCCCGGGCCACATAGTCTCTCCACATTACACCCCATATGTGCCCACTTCTCTCCACCTCACAGGCCCACCCTGATCCAGACCGTCACGGTCTCTCACCCAGACCCCTGTGTGGCTTCCTCACTGGATCCTTACTCTAGCCCGGCTGCCTACACTCTTCTCCACTTGTAGCGAGAAGAATCTTTCCAAAATGTAAATCACATCACATCACTCCCCTGCTTAAACCTGCCAAAGGCTGCCCACAACACTTAGAAGAAAACCCAAACCACTTAGTGTGGCCCCCAGGCCTGCCTGATAGGCCCAGCCAGCTTCTCAGCCTCCAACTCCAGCGCTCCAGCGCTCGGGCGCACCCCCACCCTGCACTCTGTCCCAGCCACACGGGCCTCCTGCCAGGCCTGGGAATGCTTTCCGCTGGTTCCCTCTTCTGTGCCCTTTGCAGATCCTGTGCTGGGAACACCCTTCCTCTGTATCTTTGCATGGCTCTCTCCTCATCATGGGTCTCAGACAGGCCTTCCCTGGAAAATAGACCCCTCCTGTTCTCCCCTTCCAAGTCATTCTATTACACTGCCCTGTACTGCTGACTTCCAGCACCCACGGCTCTCCAAAACAATCGTATTTGTGTATTCACATGTCAGCCTTGCCTCCCTAGACTATAAGCCTCCCGTGGGCAGGAGCTGGCCCTTTCATTACCGAGTCCTAGTGTCCAATATCACCTGGTACTTGGTACTTAGTAAGGACTCAGCCAACATCAGCCCGTATTTTTCTTATTCCTGTGCTCAGGGCTTGGTAAACAATGACACCTGCCATGTGGTCAGGCTGGGAAGGTCACTCTCAAGCAAAAGTTCTGAATCTGATCCATGAACCCAAGTTCCAGGAACTTGGACAGAAACAAAATTCCATCTGTATATTCACCAGCCTCTGACTGCAGAACATCTTGCATTTCAGGCAGGCCACAGACAGGAGGCCTATTAGCAGCACCGGGCCTTCATTGGCAACAGAAACCACAGCTACTTCCATGCCCTGTCACAGCTGCTGCAGGGTCTTGAGGTATTGTTTATGCCTAAGGCACCTGTGAAATCATGACACTTCTAGATCGGCCACTGTTTATTTAGTGTGTTTAAAAAAAAAAGGCATATATTACTAAATTACAAATTTAAAAATATTTTGATAATTATCTCAAGTCAATATAATTCTTGTCTTTTGCAATCCTATGTATTTATTTAGAGAGAGAGAGATCACGCACGCATGAGCAGTGGGGGAGGGGGAGGGGCAGGAGGAGAGAGAATCTTTAGCAGGTTCCACGCCCAAGAGTCAGGGGCTTGATCTCATGACCTTGAGACCTGCGCTGAGATTAAGAGTCAGAGGCTTGACCAACTGAGCCACTCAGGCGCCCCCTACGTATTTTATTTAATGAGGTCTTTGGGGTTTTTTTAAAGATTTTATTTATTTGACAAGAGACATTGCGAGAGAGGGAACACAAGCAGGGGGAGTGGGAGAGGGAAAAGCAGGCTTCCCGCCGAGCAGGGAGCCCGATGCGGGGCTCGATCCCAGGACCCCGGGACCCCGGGATCATGACCTGAGCCGAAGGCAGACGCCTAACCGACTGAACCACCCAGATGCCCCATTTAATGAGTTTTAAAAACAGCATTCTGAGACGGGTTCACAGGCTTCACCAGATGCCAAACGGGTTCAGGACACAGACTAAAAAGACCCCCAAAAAGGAGTCTTAAAAGAGCTGATGTGGTCGGGCCCTGGTCCTTCTCTCAGTGGACATCTAGCCCATGAGGAGAGTCTGAAGAAGCCTGGAAAAGCAATGGGAATGAGGTTTCCCAGAGACCCCATGACCTAGGTTTCCATTTTGCCTCATTTCCTGTCTTGTTTGTGAAATCGTGACATCAACAGAGTTCCGGGCGCAGAGACCCGGCGGGAGCCCTCTGTTAGGAAGCCCTCTCTAAAAGCCTTCCTCAGAGGAGAACCCAGCTTCCCCTCTGTCCTCCAGCTGCCCAGGCGGCCTGCAGCTCACAAGAGCGAGTCATGCAGGAGCCCCTATGGTTAAAATGAAACCCCTCTCACCCAAAATACTCTTCAGGGCTGAAGTAAGACAAACTCTCTCCCTATCCATCTGGAATATGACAAGGGGAGGGGGAAAAAATAATGTTTCTTTTTATAAATACCCCCTAATTCGTTAAAGAAAGCAAGCCACCTGAAGTCCCAGATTGCGGCGACACAGGTTTGCTCTGGGAGGTGGAGCCCCGCACAGTGTTCTGGTTTAGGAGGGCGTCAGGTTCAAAGCCCGATTCTCGAGGCAACGAGGCAAGCGGACAATGGAGAAAGCAATGCCATCCCCAGCATTCTTTCTGGGGCCTGCGATGTGAAAGGCGGGAGCAGGGAGCTTTGGGAGGGTTTCTTGGCGTCTCCGCCTGTGAATCATTGCTCTCACATGGGCTCACTGAATGATCTCTAATTTGGGAGCAGAGCAGCAGAAGGGCCCCAAATTAACCTCAGTTTTGTCCTCTCCATTTCACTCGGAGCTCCGTGGGCCTGAACGTCTGGTGTCATCGACTGTAAGGCTCTGGATGTCTAGGGCGGTTCATCTCAGACGCTGATCACAGTAAGAACCTGCCTGAGATATCTGGCGAGTCAGGGAGTGGAGTTGGGGTGGGAACCAGCTAAAAGAAAGGACTCCCTTTCATATTACATTCTGGATCAAAGAAAAACTAAACATGCAGAGGGCGAGGAAGAAATGCCAAAGACTTGTGGAGATGACAATGTGATGCGAAAGTTTCTCAGAAGACAGGAGCGTCTGGCCGGCTCAGTCGGTAGAGCGTGCGACTCTTGATCTGGGGGTTATGAGGTTGAGCCCCACATGGAATATAGAGATTACTTAAAAATAAAATCTTTAGGGGCCCCGGGGTGGTGCAATTGGTTAGGCGCCCAGCTCTTGATTTCAGCTAGGGTCATGATCTCAGGGTCCTGGGATCGAGCCCCATGTCGGGCTCTATACTCAGCGGGGAGTCTGCTTGAGATTCTCTCTCTCCCTCTCTCTCTGCCCCTCCTCCACTTGTGCTCTTTCTCTCTAAAATAAATAAATAAATCTTAAAAAAAAAAGAAATCAAATATTTAAGGGCACATGGGTGGCTCAGTCGGTTAAGCATCCGACTCTTGACCTCAGCTCAGGTCTTGATCTCAGGGTTGTGAGTTCAAGCCCTTGCTGGGCTCTATGCTGAACATGGAGCCTACTTAAGGAAAAAAAAAGTAAAAACCTTCTAAAACAGTTTCTCGTAAAACAAAGACAGGTGGCTGTGCACAGAATATCTCAGGCTACACTAGAAAGTGCTAACAGTGAATGCTCTTGGCAAAAGGGGGGAGTTTGGGGGTGGAGCTTGGGTGTAGGAGAGAGCCCGACTTTTCCTTGTGATGCACCTTTTGTACCATGTAAGTTCTGTACTATGAGCATGGGCTACTGATGAAAAATTATTTTTTATAGTCTTGCATGTCAGAAGACTTCATAGGAATGTGGCAGGTGCTTAATAAACATGTAAACCATTGTACAATTTCAGGAACTAGCATTTATAGAGTGCCTACTGTGTGCCAAAGGCCCTTTGGCAATGCCAGTTTTACAGATCTTAGGAAATGGAAGCTCAGCTAGGAGGGAAGCAAGTGGGGACTCCTCCCAGGTCTGCTGGAAGCCAGGGCTCTGCTCTTCAGCAAGGACCACACAGCCTTGCTCCCTGGAGTGAGCAGTTGGGAGGCACCAGATGCTCTGGCAGGATCCAGAGAGATGCCATCTGTGAGGGAAACCTATTCTTAGAGAGCAGAGACAGTCGGTGGCGCAGCCGGCCAGCCCCCCGCAGCAGTGGGGGGATGCTGGGCAGGCAGAGCGCCAAGGCTGTACCTTCAGCTGGGGGGCAGGAGAGGCTAAAAGCAGGGGGGTACTCAGTTCTTAGGACCACACTTCCTCCTACGTCTGGATGCTATATTAGAAAGAACAGCAAACATTTACTGAGTGCTTACTTTATACTCGTCATATTGTCTAATCCTCCAGACCATGCTGTGAGGTGAGTGATAATTAGCATGCCTAGCTCATAGATGAAGAAACAGAGGTACAGAACGGTTAAGTCACTTGCCTGAGCAAACAGGGCTGAGCCCAGGCACTCTTGCTCCAAAGTCTATGTCCATAACCTCCACTGACTCTCAGCTTGCTGCACCAGAGGCCAATTTTAGTTTGGGTTTTCCTCAATAGCAGACCCCAAGACAAGGATTTCAGTGCAAGTGGTCTATTTGGGAAGTGATCCCATGTTAAGGATGAAAGAGACAGGGAAGGGTGGGGGAGGAGTTATCAAGCAAGTGACCATTGTGGGTCAGTTCAGTCCTGCTAGGGAACTCCAGGAGCCAGTGTGGAGCATGCGCCTGGGAGTTATCAGATGTGTTACTCCTCCAGACCTGCTGTGGGTGGCAGAGCAGGTGCCAGGGGCAAGCGAGAGCCCTCAGGCAGAAAGACACAGGGGTGGCAGTTGGAAGAGTTGGCTGGTGTGCAGTGAAGCGCGAAGTTAGTGGGGACTGGGTGGAGCACCCCCAGCATCTGCTTGCTGATGGCCACCCCCTTCCTCCTCATAACCTTGGGATCTCATTCAGCCTCCACACAGTGAATTCAGGGACCTTCCAGATCACCTTCTCCAAGTGTGCAGGTCAACTTCATAGCTGAGAACACTGCTGTTAGAATCAGGCCTAATCCCACCATGATTACCTAACAGCTCTGTGACTTGGCTTCTTCATTTGTAACAAGAGATTATGGTTGGCTGCACATCATTCCCTACTACCTTGTTACTCAAGGTACGGGTCAGACCAGCAGCACCAACAGCAGTTCCTGGAAGCCTGAGAGCAAGGCAGAACCTCTGGCCCCACCCCAAACTCGCTGAGTCAGAATCTGCATTTTAATAAGATCACCAGTGACGCATGTCTACTAGTAATTTCTAAAAAGGGACTGAAGTATTCCTACTAGACCAAGGGTCTCAAATTCATGGGCCATGGACCACATCTTCCTGGAGACCTGGTTTGATTTGTCCAGCACAGTGATTTTAAAAATCGGACTGGCACATGAGTCTCCGGGTCCCCAGGTTACCATCACTCCCGAGTGCACAACATTTTCACTTATGCCCCTTGCCAGACCCCTCTGGGCATTTGAATTTGCACCCCATCCTGGAGCCCATCCTAGACTAGTTAACATTTGCATAGCATAGCTTAGGTTTCTAAATTTAACATAAGGCACTGAAAAAAAAAAATGGGTATTGAACTCAGACAGCTCTGGGTTCAAACCCTGATTTGGCTATCATACTGGTTGTATTATCTTGGGCAAATGACTTCCCCCCTCTGATCCTCAGTGTCCACATCTGCGAAATGAGGATCAAAATACACACCTGCAAGGTCATTGTATGGGTTAAAAATAATACGTGCAAAGCATCTGGGAGGAAGTAGGAGCTCACTAAATGGAAGTAATTAGTAGTAATAGCAGCTCTTGTAGTTATACAAATCCAATGTGGACACTGGGTGTGTATTATGATTATCCTCATTTTACAAGAAACTGAGGCTCTGAGAGGTTAAGAACCTTCCTCAAGGTTACACAGTGGTGGAGTGGGGACTTAAACCCATGTCCCCTAGCTCTATATCTGCACTGTCCACTAGAATTTTCTGCAAGGATAGAAGTGTTCCATATCTGTGTTATCCAATATGGTAGCCACTAGCCACATGTGGCTACTGAGCACTGGAAATATGGCTGGTCCCCACTGAGACACGCTGTAAGGAGACACTACATACCTGATTCTGATGACCTAGTACAAGAACAAAGAATATAAAATATCTCATTAATTTTTATATTCATTTTTACATGTTAAAATGATAATATTTTAGAAATACCAGGTTAAAATCTGTAACTAAGATTAATCTCACCTGCTTCTACCTTTTTTCATGTGGCTACTAAGACAAATTTCAATTACATATACAGATCACATCGTGCTTCTATTGGACAGTGGAATTCTAGAGCTTCTCCACTAGAGCAACACCTGAGCCCAGGAATTTAATTTTTTCTAAAAACATATTTGCAACCCACTGCCCCCCAGCAAGCAATCCTGTTACATAGAACGGTCAAAGACCATAACCCACCAGAAAGAGACTTCGGGGCCCTCCTCTGAGCTTGGTGACCCCTGACGTCCGGGGCCGGTGGGGGGTGCCTTTCCCTGGTCTCACAGTAGCCAGCAGCACAGCCGGAATCACGTCCGAGGCCCCGCAGCCCAATTCACCACTCGTTCCGCCATTGGAGAGGACCTAATGGACTTGGAAATCAGTGCTTTTGCTTCGGCAAATGGAACCCTGGGGCAATAAAAGTTGGAGTCTGAGAACCATGATCTTGAGAAGGCAGGATCCTTTGGGGGTGATTCACCGATGGAGACAATCTCGGCTGTGGAAGCCCCCATCAGCACCTTGGGGCCGTGTTACTTCGAGGGGAGGCTCTTGTTGTAGAGGAGGAAGTCTGAGATGTCATGCCAGACATTGCTGTCCTGGTACAGGTAGGTCATGGAGGACTGCAGGGACGGCTGCAGAGTGGGCCGGTGGTACTCAAAAAGCCACAGCACCAGCCCCCACACCAGCCCGGTGAACAGGGGGAATGGGTCCCACCTGGGCTCGGGAATGTAGCCCTTCTCCACGCCCAGGCGGCACAGGGCAAACAGGACGCGGGAGAGCAGGTACATGTTGATCTGCAGGGAGGGAAATGACAGGGGATTACGGGAGGGCACAGCCGCTGGGAACCTTCGGCCCAACCCCACATCCTGGGCATGACTGTACACAGGATCAGAGTTTTTCTTTCGTTTTTTTAAGTTTGTTTATTTTAGGGGTGCCTGGGTGGCTCAGTTGGTTAAGGCGTCTGCCTTCGGCTCAGGTCGTGATCCCAGAGCTTTGGGATCAAGTCCCACATTGGGCTCTCTGCTCAGTGGGGAGTCTGCTTCTCTCTCTCCTCCCCGCTTGTTCTCTCTCTCTCTCTCAAATAAATAAATAAAATCTTTTTAAAAAAGTTTATTTATTTTAGTAATCTCTACACCCCATGTGGGGCTTGAACCCACGACCCCAAGTTCAGGAGTCCCATGCTCTTCCAACTGAGCCAGCCAGAAGCGCCCAGATCAGTGTTTTTCAAAAGCTAGTGTGCAAGATGATTTGAAGTGATTTGATGATCCGAATGATATGTAGTAGGTATTTTAAAGATTTTATTTATTTGAGAGAGAGAGAAGGGAGGCGGAGAGGCAGAGAGAGAATCTTAAGCAGGCTCCACGCTCAGCGCAGAGTGTGACACAGGGCTCAGTCTTAAGACCCTGAGATTATGACCTGAGCTGAAATCAAGAGTCAGATACTTTAACAGACTGAGCCACCCAGGCGCCCCTGTAGTAGGCATTTTAATGTTGCTATTCATTTCATTTCTGTAATTTATCATTCTTGTTCATTAAGATTTTTAGAAAATGAATATATTTACATGGTTCAAAACTGAAAGGTAACCTGACACCAAAAACACAACCCACACAAAAATAAAAAATTGGTAAATTGGATCTCATCAAAATTTAAAATTGTTAGGTTGCGAAAGCCCATACAAAGAGGCTGAAGAGAAAAGCTACAGCTGGGAGAAAATATTTACAAACACATATCTGACAAAAACTCGTACCTGGAATATATTTTTAAAAAAAACTCTCAAAATTCAATGGTAAAAAAAGAAGCAATCCAATCAGAAAATAAGCAAAAGATGGGAACAGATGTTTCACTGAACTGGTTCTACAGATGGAGAATAAGCACATGTAAAGATGCTCAACATCATTAGCCTTTAGGGAAATGCAAATTAAAACCAAAATGAGAAGCACTACACACCTATCCAAATGGCTAAAATTAAAAATGTGATAAACCAAATGCTGGCTAGGATGTAGAGAAAATGGATCATTTGTATATTCCTGATGGGAATGTACAATAATACAGTCACTCTGGAAAACAGACTGGCAGTTTCTCAAAAAATTAAACATGCATGGGGGTGCCTGGCTGGCTCAGTCAGTTAAGCATCCAACTCTTGGTTTCGGCTCAGGTCATGATCTCGGGGTCTTGAGATCGAGCCCTGCGTGGGTCTCCGTGCTCAGCGTGGAGTCTGCTTGAGATTCTCTCCCTCTACCTCTCCCTCTGCCCCTCTCCCCATTTGTGCTTTCCTTGAGCTCTTTCTCTCTCAAATGAATAAATAAATAAAATCTTTAAAAAATAAATAAACATGCACGGGGCAGCTGGCTGGCTCAGTAGGTGGAGCGTGTGACTCTTGATCTTGGGGTTCTGAGTTTGAGCCTCACATTGGCTATAGAGATTACTTTAAAATAAAAATCTTTAAAAAAATTAAACATGCAGGGCGCCTGGGTGGCTCAGTCGGTTAAGCGACTGCCTTCGGCTCAGGTCATGATCACAGGGTCCTGGGATCGAGCCCCGCATTGGGCTCCCTGCTCAGCGGGAAGCCTGCTTCTCCCTTTCCCACTCCCCCTGCTTGTGTTCCCTCTCTCGCTCTCTCTCTCTGTCAAATAAATAAATAAAATCTTAAAAAAAAAAAAATTAAACATGCATGTATCATATGACCCAGCAATTGGACTCTTGGGCATTTATTCCAGAGTAATGAAAACCTATGGTCACCAAAAACTTGTACAAGAATATTCTTAGCTGTATTTCTAATAGCCAAGAACTGGAAACAACCCAGATGTCCTTCAATGGGTGAATGTTTAAACAAAGTGTGGGGCGTCCATGCCCTGGAATGAACTATCGATACACACACAACTTGGATGAATCTCCAGGGAATTATGCTGCGTGCAAAAAGCCAATCCCCAAAATCGGAGGGGGAGACGAACCATGAGAGACGATGGACTCTGAAAAACAAACTGAGGGTTCTAGAGGGTAGGGGGGTGGGAAGATGGGTTAGCTTGATGGTGGGTATTAAAGAGGGCACGTTCTGCAGGGAGCACTAGGTGTTATGCACAAACAATGAATCATGGAACACTACATCAAAAACTAATGATGTAATGTATGGTGATTAACATAACAATAAAAAAGCCAATCCCCAAAGGTTACATACTGCAATGACTCTAACTTATATAACGTTTTTGAAATGACAAAATTTTAGAAGTGGAGGTCAGAGTAGTTGTTGCCAGGGGTCAGGGAAAGGAAGGGTGGGGGAAGGAGATGGTGTGACCATGATTCCTTGGAAGTTCATAGACCAGTGACATTTCTTTTTTTTTTTTTTTT